AGGTCACTTAATTTTCAAAATTTTAATAAGGGTACTCTTCCCTTATTATTCAAGAGGCAAAAGCACAGAATGAAAAAAATTACTCATGTCTCTCAAATAAATGGAATGGTGGTATGCTTATTAAAATTTGGAAAATTAAGAGCACCCCTACAGCTTTAATTTGAACCAACACTTGCCATTGGAATTCAGAATGAGAAAAATTACACTTGATTTTCAAAAAAAAAATAGCTTATTAAAATTTTGAAAATTAGAGCTGCCTCAGCAATTTATTTAACCCTCCTCCAATTTAATTGAGAAACAAGAGTACAGAATGATTCAAATTACTCTTGCCTTTCAAATAAAACAATGGCATGTATATTTGTTAAAAAAGTTCAAAAATTAAGAGCCCCAGCCACTTTATTTTTACCCCTCCTCCTTATTTGAGGGATAGAGTAGCATGAATAAATGCAGTGAATTTGAACAATAGTTTTGTATTAAAAAAATTATTGCTATGAATAAATGACTCCCAAGAGTATGCTTCCTTGAATGCTGCAATCTTAACCTCTTCTAGAGTCAATCATTATATATATCATCATAATATACAGTTACTTCCTCCTCTTACATCCATACAACAACAACATCATTCAATAATTCACAACCTTGAGTGGCTCTTGGGCCATGTATTAGATGAACATTTAGAAGAAGAAAAGGAGATTTTTAATGATAAAACAAAACATTAAAATTTCTTAACAAAAGTTTTTAAATGAAAACAGAATACACTTCTTGATCTCTAAGATTTATATGTTAAAGTGTTATACAGTGTTAAATCATAAAATGGACAGTTAAAATCTTTTAAAGCCTAAGCTAAGTGCATGAAATGCAATATTAGTGGCAGGGAAATATCAATGAATGAATACAGTTCTTTATTTACAAGTTGAATGCAGAAATTAGGTTTGTTAACTGGCACCAGCTGTTGCCAAAATAAAATCGAGCACTCATTAAAAATTAGAATAATAGACCAGTATATCTACCAGTTTATCTATTTAGCTGTGTATTAATAACATATAAACATAAAAATAGATAGATATAAATTCTAAAATAACATATAAACTCACCTACATATGCTTATCCATGAACACACACATGTTTATATATATATATATTTATTTAATGATTGATTTTGAATATTTACAAGTATACTGGTGTGTGTGTGTGTGTGGTGTGTGTGTGTGTGTGTGTGTGTGATAAAATAAAGAACAAGTAGGAAACGTATCTCAATATAACATGTTTCACCTTTATTTGTCAAAGATTGAGATAGAAATGAAAAAGCAAAGAGATGCATCATGTGTATTAATGCAATAGATAATTTATAAATATGTGTGATGAACATTTTGGATATTAATGTGTGTGATAATGTAAGGGTGTGTATGTAAAGAAATGCTTGTTTGTCTAGGTATATGTTGGATAGTAATGTTAATTCATGTAAGTGTATAAGTGTGTGTGTGTGTGGAATGACTATATATATATATATATATATATATATATATATATATATATATATATATATATATATATATATATATATATATATATATATATATAATAAACTGTAACCGTGCCATCAAAATTGATGGCAAGAAGGAATGTATTATAAGTAATATGTACTATATTGTAAGTAATTTTCATTTAATCTAAGTACAATATTTTTCTGTATAACAATTAAAGGGAAGTGTGCAAGATAATGATGACTCACCTACCCAAATTTATATTTGTTTTTGTAAAGAAAAAAAATCTTTAGTGAATTAAAAATTATGAGTGACAGACATGAGTTATGGAAAACATTATTCATGTTGAATTTTTATGAATTTAACTATATTTTATTTCCTTTTTAGTGCCAATTAGGAAAAAATAAGTAAATAAATATAATTTATGTATGTATATGAGAAACAGTTAAATGTTGTTATATGTTTCTTTTTCTTTTCAGAAACAAATATAATTTGAATTTGGATGGGTGGGTCATTGTTTATATAAAAGAATTAGTACGTGTATGCGTGTTTTTAGTAGTAACGTGGTGTACAAGTGATAGGTGAATTTAGTTCTTACTGTGAACTGTGTTGCCATTGTTCAGAGTGGTCTCTTTGTAGTTTTCAGTGTAGTAGCTTTTTGTGTGTGGACATGAATGGGGGTCTTAAGTTTTATGCATTTCATGTCTAAATTTTGCACACTGCCCCTCAGTTATTACACACACAAGAAAATTTATATATATATATAAGTGAACATTGAAGTCAACACTCAGAGGCGACAGGCTGTTTTATGCTAGATGCAATCATCAGGCCGCGAGTGTTTACATAAACTCTATCTCTGACAATGAGCACTTTTTTCCATAAATATAGCACATCTTAAAACTATATTTCTTCATATACATATATGCGTGTGTGTGTGGCATATTTTATTTAAGGATATATATTTTTATATATGTATATATATATATATATATATATATATATATATATATATATATATATATATATATATATATATATTCATGTTTATATAAATATATATATATATATATGTAGCATATTATATTTAAGGATATATATATATATGTATGTATATATATTTATATATGAATAAATATACATCTATATATCAATGATTATATATAAAAATATGTGTCAATGACCCACACACACACACACATATATATATATATATATATATATATATATATATATATATATATATATATACACACACACATATACATACACACACATATACATACACACACAAGGTGTTCAATATTTATCATTACACTCAGATTAATTTTAATTTAATTTTAAAATGTATCATTTTTTGGGGATGTTATATGATTTGTCTAATAGAATGAATTTTTGGAGTCATCAAAACCAGTGGAGGTAGAACTGATTATTAAATTTGGTTGTTGAATGTTTTCATACACTTTCGTACAATTTTGTAGAATTTTTGTCTCTGGTCTTATAATTTTGATCAAGTGTAAAACACTTCTTTTTATAAAAATGTCAATTTATCAATAAAATGTTCGGATTATAACTTTTTGTCTACATAAACTTTTAGATTATAAAATTAGTAACCTTAAGTAAGAAATGTTTAAAATTTTTCCATGAAAAACAGTCTTTTAAAAAAAATTTTCAAGTGGTCTTAAATCTTTTATCAGGAGTGTATATACATTTCTGCCACAATTTTGAGCAGAAGAGAATTGAGCATTCCAACAAAAAGCATGGCATTAGAATAGAATTTGTCCCAGAGCTATTAGGACACCAACACACTTGCATTTTTGGGGAAAAGTCACCCTTTCAGTGACTGGTTTAGCCAGTCATATGAAATCACACCAGAGAGGTCAGGTGCAAACTCCTGTGAATGCAACTGTACCAAAAAGACCTGCAGGTTACTTGTGTGAGTTTTGTGACAAGGTTTGTAAGTCTATTTACACAATTGTACAAAGCTACAAGCAAGTTTACAACATAGGTAGCACAGACAAACTTTATGTTTGCCACATGTGTAAGAGAGCTTATAAAAGTAAAGCTGACCTTAAGAGTCACTTACAGGCTCATAGCAGAGCATTAGCTCAATTATAACTGATGGAAATAATAAAATTCTGAAGGAAAGATGCAAAAAAGAAAAAAAACAAAAGCTACCAAATGAAGAGATGGCCTTCTTCTGCAAAGAAGTCACAATTATTATATATATATATATAAATATGTGTGTGTGTGTGTAGACACACACACAAACACACATGCACACAAAAAATTAGAGAGCAGAGTTCAAATTAAAGTCAAGTTCTAGGTTGATTTTGTTTTCATTGGTGATGTAGATGTCACACCATATGGCATCTGGAGTTTTGTTTACCGTATTTGATGGCATATAAGGCACACTTTTCTTTACTAAAAAGTCAGTTGCAACCTTTGGATGTGTCTTTGAATAGACCTTTTAAGCAAAACATGAAGGAGCTATGGAACATGTGGATGGCAATGCCTGATCACAATGTTACACTTACAGGAAGAATAAAAAGACCCAGCATTGCACAAGTCTGTGAATGGGTGAAGCAAGCTTGGGATAATATTAGACCAGAAATTGTTGTGAAATCTTTTAAAAAGTTTGGCATTAGCAATGCTCTCAATGGAATGGAAGATGATGCATTATTTAATGACGATGATCGTAGTATTAAAAATGAGTATCAGAGTTTTGATAAAGAAGACGACGAATTTAATGGATTTGAAGATGAATAAAATGTTAATGGTAATTGTACTGTTTTACTCAATTGTAATAATTGCTTGATTTTTATTTTGTTTTCTTACCTTTGGATATAATAAAGTTTTTATTGGCTCGTGTTCTTTTTTTTCCTATTATTTTTGTTTAATTGTAATTATGGCTTGTTTAACCAAAATAATACTTCATAAATAGGCTGTACCATTTACTAATAATTTTACTAATTATTAATTTTTTCTTGATTTGCCCTGCTGAAATTGGAGTGTGTATTATACACCTGTGTGTCTTATGTTTGGTCAAATATGTTAATTCCTGAAATGTTTAATTTAGGTGGATGTTAAAAATTAAGTATATTAGTATATTTTAATTGATAATGAATGTTGGGAGTGAATGTGCAATTCTAGATTATTAAATCAGAATATTCACAAATTTGACAATACAATAAAAAAAAGACAAACTATAAATATTTGGATAGAAAGATCAAAAGTTTTTATATACTGTCCATTACTTTGTTTTTTGAGAATAAAGATTGATTTGTTTTTTATGGCTTATCAACCTTTTGCAGGTTATTTAAAGCTAGAAAATATTTCTAGATTGTAAGAATATTTCGGAGATAAGAAGTATTTATAAATATAAGTTCTACAAATTAGTTCATAGAATACTAATTAATTTCTTAAGGGTATTTGCACATATGTGAATATAATGAACACAACTTGAAATGGAACTCAATTCTCTGATTTCCTATTCATTACACCATCTATATATCCAAGCTTACAGCACCTGGTATTCCCAAGTAGTCACCCATCAAGGTACTGACCAGACTTGATGTTGCTTAATCTCAGTGTTCATACAAGAACCAGTGTTTCAGCGTGATATGACCGTAAACTCAGAAGAAACTTGACAACTCTCAAAGTTAAGATGAGGATATTGTGTGCTGTCTACTGTTTGCATTTTGTTCAATGTGACACTAGATTTATTGCAGATCAATAAGCACCCCCACCAGGAATTTAAGATTCTATAGAATTTAAGATTCTATAGAATTTAAGATTCTATAGAATTTAAGATTCTATAGAATTTAAGATTTTGATTATTATGTACTGTGGATCTGATTTCATAAATATTTAACAGATAAATACGTATAACAAGAAAATTTTGTGGATTTATCACTTTTCAAAATTCAAACAAAATTCTCACTTGGTTGATTTGAACAAGAAATCTAGAATTGCACCATTGCACACCCCAAAACATATATTTAACTGTCAATAAATAGCATAATTTAAAATAACATCTTTCAGTCTACATATATTTCATCTTAGTGTTTGCCTATGTATGGGAAAATTACACTCTGAGGATGGCAATTTGAAATTGTCAAAAGTACTTGGCATGTGCCTTCCATCTGATAACAACTCAAATATAATGATCATATTATTCAAGGAATTGTTAGTAAGTTAATGTCTCATTAAGTTTTGTTAGTGAAGTGATTTCGCCATTAATTACATTAACATTGCTAATTCTTTGTATAGATTGTTTCTTATATATATATATATATATATATATATATATATATATATATATATATACAGTGGGGAAATAAATATTCGTACACTTGAAAAAATTGTATCAAAATTTGTTTTAGTTAAGTCTTTTACATTTATAAAAATACAATTTTTCATGTGTACGAATATTTCCCCACTATATATATATATATATACATACTATATATATATATATATATATATATATATATATATATGTATAAAAGGGAAACATATTACTCACACATCATAAATTTAGTGAGCTGGTAAATTGTTCTTTTTGTCTGCATAGAATCAGTTGGTGTATTTTAATATAAACCGCTTCTAAAATCTTCAAATGATGACTGGACTGAGCTCTATGGAAGATAGTGAAATAATTATTTGTATATTGATGTGAACAGTCAGGTTTATCCAGAAGGTGCTGACCAATTGCTGAATCATGCACTGCTTGGGTTGTCCTAGAACAACTAGAGTTACCTACTCATGTACTTGCAGGAATGTGTTAACTGATAAGTCTCTCCAATCTCTGATTGGTCTATCCTATGTATGCAGCCTTGTACTGACATTTAAATTTATATACCACGGAACTATTTTATAAATAGGACAAACCATCCTTAACGAAAGAGGAGAACACCAACCGAGTCTCAAAAATAATATGTAACTTCACAGTTGAAAAACTTGATGTAATACATGCTGATACCTTGTTGGCGAGTACTTGACTATTTCTACCTAGCCATGGTAGTTTTAGATATAAGAGATGCAATGAGGGACCAAAAATCACTGGCTCCTTCAAGCACTTAATTTTCTGTTCAACAGTGCACTTGATGATATTAATGGGAAAACCTTTATCAATAAAAATATTACAGATTTTCTCTAGTTCATGATCAAGAGTATGTGGGGAACAAATCATCAATGCATGATCGACTAGGGTAGAAATCAAATTGATCTTATTGGACTTAGGAACAAAGGAATTCCAAGGAATACAAATTAGTGAAATAAACTATTATACAATATATATATATATATATATATATATATATATATATAAATATATATATATATATATATATATATATATATATATATATATATAAATGACAATAGGAAAACTGTAGTTAGTGCTGACGTGTTTCATCTAATGTGAACTTTCTCAAAGCAAAATACAAAATGAAGTAGGGAAGCATGTACAACTGCCTGCAACAAAAGTTTCGCACATTAAATTTTATTCAATTTTATACTATCTGGCTTCATTTTAACAGTTTTTTTTTATTTAAAGAATACGTGTTTGTAACTTTTTTCTTTTAATAAATGTTTTTTTAAACACTCCCCTTAAAAGAAAGTGTAATAAAAAAATCTAGTCTATGTATTTTAAAAATTTGTAGATTTCTTGCTTATCTAGTTGATCATGCGACAGGTGTTAACACAGTATATAGAAATACAGTGTTACCTGGTTGTGGGCACATTCAAGCACTCTAGGACTACAAGTGTGTGACATGTGCAGGTGCATTTAGTTGATTCTAGACGTAAAGGATTAAATATATGCACAGTTTTGTAAACAAATAAAAGTGACTCTTTTTGAAGTTTAATATTTTATCAGTCTCTTTCATAATCCATGTTCCTCACAAATAAATGGCTTCTCATATAAAACATGAGTTTCAACACTAGGGATATAAAAAGAAACTTATTCTGTATTTTTGCAACATTACTCTAGTTATAGGATATGTATATATCAAAAACATTAACATTTAGAAGAACAGTAAGAAATGAGCTCTGGAAGAAGTGATGAATGTTTTGGACTGATACACACACATTTACCTCCCCTATCGATGCAGTTACATATCCAAAACAAAATAACTTGAAAATTTACTGTTTTTTTTTTTACAGAAACTCACCTTCCCAAGAAATCATTTTTTTTTTTTAAATTTCTTTTGCTATTACTATCAATTAAGATTTCCAAATCATGAATATATATGAATATATTTTTTTTATTTAACTTTTTTCTGTATTTTAAGAAGGTGTGTTGAGTTTGCTATACAAGTCAAAAAAAGAAAAAAAATGATAATGAAATAATAATAATAAATGGAAAAGATAAACCAGAATACCTTTTAAATTCATATTTCGTTTTGAAATCATTTTAAATTTTATGTATAAGCATTATTTTAAATATAAAAAAAGGAAAAAGATAAGAATATGGTTTAAATAATATAAGTATTAACTATTTTTTTATTTTAACTTGAAATTTTGTAAGTAAGAACATGCTTTATTATTTGAATTTACATAACAAACTGAACCCCCATCTTAGAAATTAGAAATTTTTTTTATATTTATGATCTGGAGTACTTAGTTGATAAAGATATGAAAAGTAAATTTAAAAAACAATAATTATTTCTTGGAGATATGCATTTCAGTAGAAATGCCAAGATAGTAATAGATTTCAATGAAGTTTGGTGAATGGGTGTATTAAGAGTACTAGAGTAAGTGATAAAAATTTGGAGTAGATCCATGAACTATTCTAGGTACCTCCTGTGTAAATATTTTTGTGACAATGTTGATAGCTTTTTAATTCTTAAAGTAAAGAGGCTAAATGAGTCACAAGAACAATTACTGAAAACATTTCAGAAGTGACAGTGTTCATTTTATCCTTGCTCCTTGCAATACAACTGGTCCACATGCATAAGATGTAATTCATACACAGAATCAGAAATTGACCTTTAGTACTTGATTGGATTTTGTAATTCTTTTTCTATACTCATTTAAAATTTAGAGAAGATTCAATTTATTTTTTTCATTTTTTTTTTTAAATCATTTCAACCCCAGGCAGGGCAATAATGTCACTAAGATGCAAGGGGGTACCGAGGGTGAAAGAAAATGAGAAAACTTTAAGAGAAAGAACCAGAAACTCAATTCTAAACAGAAAATGAGGGATAAACCTCAACCCAACACTTTTGTTTCAAGGTGTGAACATTTTTCAGTAAATATTTAATGGCTCTTGGTACATTTGTCTCACAATCAATATTTGATGTTGAGTTCAGGTAAATAAAGTACCAAAACATGGATTTTAAACAAACAATTAATGAATGTATTAACAAACGAAATGACATTAATGTGTACATAATTAAAAGGAAAAGACATTAAAAACTTAGCTATTAAGAATGTGTGTGTGGTACAAGTGCATGTGCGAACAAGTTTAGTTGTCAGCCAACTGAAGAAACAAATGTGCTCCAGCGGGGATGCCCTCATCTATATACTGCTACTGCTTGGAACTCGAGGAAGGGGAAGTAAATCTTTGTCTTTTTATAGAATCTAAACAGTGCCATCTAACAGGCATTTGGTGAAGCCAAGTGGGGTAACCTACAACTCCTGTTCAAAAAATGAGGAAGGAGTGTGAACTGGGCGATAGGTGAACCTATCTACTCCTATTCAAATTATTTTTTAACCTTAAACACTAAAAGATTTCATAGAATTATACCTCTATTTTTTATGTCTACTTTTTGTAATGTCAACGAACACTCATTGCCACTATTGTAATGCCAACAAAAATTCATTGTCACAATGCTTGTTATAGTAGAGACTTTGTAATCACAGATGCACCTAGAGGAATGCTGTTGAATAATGTTGGTGTCAGACACCTTCAAATAGCACTCGCACTAATAGTACTTGTTCGATAATATTTATTGGAATAGTAATCTGTTTAGTGATTTGAATAGAGAAATAGTATAGTGAATAGAGTAGAGAATAGCAACCTGTATAGTAATAGAGGATAGAGTAGAAATAGCGATCTGAATAGTAATAGAGGATAGAATAGAAATGGCGATCAATTAGACGTCACACAACCTCCTACTTATGCGTTTCCTCTATAATCATGTGGTCTACTTAATTCAATAATGGGATCCCCTGTGTTTGCTCAGTGGTGATCTATGTTCAAACTCAAGTGTTGACAGCGACACTTTATTTTTATATAACACTACTTCTGATTATAATTTCAAAGAAACTTAAATTTTACTTAAACATTTTAGAATATTTAACTAAAGATTATCCAGTTTTTAATCTTCTCACTTTAAAATCTTGAAATTGTGCATTAAAGTTGCTATAAATATATATTTTTACAGTTAAAGTATAAAAATTTACTTAATATTTTAACACAAAACCTGATACAAAAATGTCTTATTTCATTTTTTAAAAGAAACAAATTTAAAATGATAATTAACCGACTCGGACTGATTGTTGTTTTACAATTGTCTTTATCACTTATTAAAAGTATCTATGAAAATACAATTATCCATTCAAGATCAATATTAATCTTAAAAGCTATTTTATCCAGGAAGACATTAAGATAACTGTTATCTCTAAGTTAAATGCAGTATTTGTAAAATTAGTCTTTCTTACTGGTTTCTTTGATTATTTTTAACATTTTTTCAGTTTTCAATCAAGTTATAATCACTTTTGTCTTATGTCCAACAACACATTATGATTAAGTAAGCATAATAATTACAAACTATGGCTCATCTCATATTACTTAACTAGCTGGTTGTTATTTGTAAACACAAGGAGAGTAGATAAAAACACTCATTGGAGTACAGTGTCTTACATGTTGGTGCCATAAGATTATCAGTAGGCACTTTACAAATGTAGCCTTGAGCCAGACTGGGTTTAGTTGAAAAAATTTGGAAACAAGAAATCCTTGAATTATGCTATTTGATGTAAAATGGATAAATTACCATCAAAATCAATTTTTTTATTGTATAAATTAAGTACAAGTTGAGATTTTTCTAAACATCAACAAACTACCCACACATGCTTTGAGAAGACCCCATTCATGGGTCCAAATTATAGCCATTCACATCTATAATTGATGCAAAAATACAAATATTTTTCAGGTAAATAATGACATACACTCACTCAATATTTTTAAGCAAAGTGATATGGAAAATTTATTCTAAAAAACAAAATATATGGCATCAAATAAACAAAAAATAACATTGCAACTCGTGCATGTTACAAATATAAAATCTTTAAGTTATACCAGGCGGAAATATTCTATAAGAAACGAAAAGAAAGCTAGAATACAACATTAATTTAATTTTATTAGCCGAAATTAAGACAGTTGCTAAGCTAGACTAATCCTTAGTAATGGAGTTACGCCCCTTAGCTTACATAAACCTTGCACACTGTTTATACAGAGACGCGAGAAAGCATTTTGCACTGTTAATTATTTTGGATATATTGATGAAGAGTAGAAATTTAATAAAAATTTATTTGAAGAGTATGATTACTCAGGGATAATATGATGAGAATTTATCACAATAACCTCATTATAAGACTTTCTAAGTTGGAAAATTCGGATAAGGTTCTTTAGTATATTGGTCTGAAATACGATAATTCTTGAGTAAAATATAGGCAAATTAAACAAATGGAGGATTTTGCCGTCTGGTGAGTTGTGTGAGTAAATATCACTTTTTTCTTAGCTTGTCACCTAATTTCTTTTCACTTAAGTTACGTGGAGTAAGAATCGATAAAAAATCTGGCATTTCGACGAAGTGAAACTGGGCGTTTGTTTTGTATTAATAGTTTAATTCCAGATTAGCAATGAAAAGGAACAACGATCGACTATGAATGCAAAATTAAGAAGTTTTCTCCCCCTGGTCTTATATTTGCTGCGCCAAAATTCTTTTTAGAATAAATTTTGTTTTAAAATAAAATAAAAAATGCATAACAAAGCTTGTCAGAAGTTTGTTATAAATTAGATATGGTCTCTGATTATAGCAAAGATTTGTTACTCTTTGTTTAAAAAGAAAAAAAAAAACTTCGAGATTTGGTCTCCCCTCCACCACTTTTCTTTTTTTAAAACATGTCCGCATGTGTCCGTGTATGTCAAATATACATTTAAAATAATAATTTATTTGTTTTTAATTATTTTTATCTTTGAAATTATTGATTTTTTAAATAAATATTGCAATTAATAATTAATTTAATTGCTTTTAGGCAAAGTCGTTATTGATGCAAATCTATTAACCCGGTTGCACTCATCAAACATTGCCGGTTCAGCGGGATAAAAAAGTGAGCAACTGGGGAACATTTTTTGGTTTTAAAGTTCTGACGACCCTTACCGTTGTCATCGGCAATTATTAAATAAATAAGTTTTATTTTGCTATAACAATTCAAACTACTTGGTAGATTTATTTATATACTAATTGCTAAAATGCTTTAAACTTTAATATGAACGGCAACTGTTTAGTAGACGAAGAAGACAGTTACTTTTTTCTTTAATTGCAAGCATAAAAATTACAAGTTGTCTTCCCCTCATTCGTCTTGTTAACTAAATTGCATTTTTCTTTTTGGAAATTAAAAAAAATATCAGTATAATCAAGTCTTTGTATTTGTATAAAGTTGTTATATTCATTAGAATAAGGACATCACTGTCATGTTAGAATACGAAAATTATGACATAAAACAATTTCATATTGCTAAATCGGAAATGAACACACGGCTGGTCACAAATTGGGGGATCACTTTTCATCTAATATATTTTTAAAAAGTTAATTAAAAATATATATATAAAATATTTTATTTCAACCGCATATTTTTTCTGATTCAGAGATTAGTATACAAATTGAAATTCAAACACGAAAAATGTTTGGTTAATTTTTTTTTTTTTCAACTTATTGAAATTTTATTTTTTAAGTTATTTAAATTTAACTTCTCATCAATGAAGTAGCGTAAAACTCTAAAATTGTTAGGACATATTATTATTATTATTAAACCCTGACTTTTCGTTCATATATTCAACAAAATGAAGAAATATATTGTATTGTGTGTGAGTGGGTTTGTTTATAATCTTCAACATGGTGTGTCTACAATATTTACTCGTTAGAGATTTCTAAGAACAGTTAAACTGAACAGTAAAGAATGCTTTTTTTTTTTAAGGAAGTAGTTTTTGTTACTTTGTACTGTATATGTATTGTTGGCGGTCAACTTGTTTTCAAAACTTTAGTTTAAAAACAATGCAAATAATAGCCTTATGTTTTTTAATCTACAAAGGAAACGTAAACAATACTTTGTTGCTAATATATGGTGGAATTAATTCTTAGATCATTACTTTACGTAAGTATTTGTCGGATTATCATTAAACCACTTACTAGCACAATACCTTTTTACGTATATCTGGAGATCGGCTAACGAAGCTTTCTCAATGGCTTCTGAAACCAGAAAGTACGATACCCATGGTACTGTACCAAGCACAGTTGTTCATATCGTCGAAATTTATGGCCTAAAAAGAGAGAAAGAAAGTTAGTAAACTGTAAATCAGCTGTAACATTTTTTTGCAGTTTAAAATTACGTTTTTGACGATTAAAATCTCTTTTTAATATTGAAAATATCGTCTCCCCATTTTACATTTTATTTTTACAATTTACATTTTTTTATGTATGATTTTTTTTTTCTGTGTTGTATGTGTTTTCGATTTTTAAACCACTCACTTTTACATCCTAATTAGAACAATAACAAATAGACGAAAAGTTAAAAGTAAAAAAAACGGAAACCAAACCAAACCACATTTCAATTAATTTAATTTAGCGTTTTAAGTTCAGTGCAGTACGTGTATGATCAGGTTCTGAATGAATTAAAAGTTCGTTGTGTGTGTATGTTGAAAAATTATTATTAAGACATTAATAATATCTTAATAATAATATATTATTCTGATAGTTTCTTCCATAGTCCGAAATTCTACCCCGCACACCGGCGTAGAACGGTGAAAGAGAAGGTTATCGATCCTCCTGTGTAGTGTGCACTGCAGACTGTTTGTATCAAATATTGATGCAGGATGTGACATTGAATAACTAACAACTCTCATTTAACAAAAACGTTCAACAATATCTATTTTTTTTTTTTATTGTAGGTTATGAACTTACTTGAACCATTTAGAGCGAGACCAAAAATAAATAAAAACAAAACTATCACCTTCCTGCTAAAATACACTGAATATTTTTATTTTAACGGAACCTTATTAAATTTGTTTGTCCAAAGGTTAAAAAATGAAAAGGAATAAACTTTTCTAGTCAGACGTTCTCCAGATTCATTTACATTAACAATCGATTTCCATGTTTTAATTGTTTCATAATATTTAAAAATGTTAAGTCACATGTAGATTATAAAAAAGAAGTATAAAAATGTGTCTATTAATTTTGATTTTTGATGAATGTATTTTGTGTACTTTGACAGCAGTTTGATGAAACTGAAAAAAAACAAAAAACGTACCCTTGTCAGTGTTAGAAAATTAAAACAAAAAGTAAAAAATTAATGACAAGAGATTGAACTTCTACTACTCTGTAGTTATAATCTATATGACTAGTTTGTTAACCATAACAGCACTCTGTCAGCATAGAAAAATATTGGATGGATATAGTTAATTAGGTATCTAATTTACTCATCCTTATGAGATAAGGAACAAGGCCTTTTTTTAAGTGAGAGCCTCGTGTATGCATGGAGTAAAAAACAAAGATTACTCAGTTCTCCCAGCATTTGATTTACTACAGACATCAAGGAATAACCCCCTGCCCAATACAATGGAGAGGTATGATCTTGGAAGAATAGCCCCACTGAAGCTGAGCTATTATACTTATTTTATCCCCAGCCATGGATGACTGGGATTCTATTGGATGTAAAGTAATACAAAGACTTTGTTTTTCATGTGAATATAATAGCCTTTCAAATTTTTTACTTTAGTCAGTGTTATAATGGAGTGTATAAACTTTGTTATAAATCAGCAGATATAATTTTGAACTCTGTTATCTTAGAAGCAAAATGATTTTGTTCTTTGATAACAATGAAATATCTTTTGATGTTTAATAGTCTCAGATCCTCATGGATTAGTTTTTATTCTAGATAGTCTTAATATATTTAATAGTCTACCTCTAAATCTGTTTTATAAGAAGCAGAACTTTTATCTTTTTAACATAGGTACCTCCACGAAATCGCTAAAAAAAGAGCATAGCTTGATGAAAAAGATGCCAACCTTGCCGAAAACAAAATTTTATTGTCTAAATGCTTATGTTATTATTTAGAGGAAAGACCAAAGTTTTTTTTAATTATTTTTAAAAAATTTTCCTTCTTTTTAGAAAATTCTAAATTTTGATTAAAAAAACCTTTTTCTATTTGTATCAGCGGAACTAGTAAATAAATAGACAATTTTTAGCATGTTTTTTGTATGACACACATTAATTTGAAAAATCGTGCAAAAAATAGAAATAATTATCGGATGTTAATGAAACTTTCAGGAACTATTCACAGATGATCGAAATTATTATAAATATGTTTTTTTTTTTTTATGAAAGTCATGGTAGAAATATTTTTTTAAAAATATTTATTACCCCCCATAACTAATTTTATGAAAACGCTAGAAATTGATCGCATCGGTTTTAGTGATTACAATAATTAAAAGCACAGGGCTTTGAGGAATGCAAATCATTTTTTTTGTTTTTAATTGGATACCCAGTACCTGAAAATCAGCTCTGAATTGTAACATACAAAACTCAATAAAACAAAGATATTATTTAATTTCAAATGCTTTTATTTGCTTTTAGTTGTTTTTATGAATATGGACAATATTTTCTGAAAGCAAAAAAATTTTTTTGATGAAAAATGAATTTTAATACAATTATTTGTTATTTCATTAATTATAATAGATTTTACATTTAAGTTGTTAAAATATTATAAAATTAGTTAAAAGACAGGCTTTCATAAGTGTCCTTATGAGATAGATCTTTTTTTAGCGTTGTAAATTGTATCATTTTGACTAATGAGAAGATCCCCAGTAATTAAGAAATGTAATTTTGTGCTTATAATCGAGCTGTAATTATAAAATACGGAAGACCAACCAGAATATAATTAAGTTGCGTTATTTGAGTTAAGCATTGTTCTCCGCTGTTAAGGCCTTTACTTTTTGAAAACACGGTGGAGAAGTTAATTTGATTTTTCAATTTCAACTGAGAAGGTTACCTACAAGTATCAGTATCATCTTATGAAATTTATATGATCTTATTTTATATTAATCTCAGTTACGACATTTTTCCATAAATGAAATATCAAAATTAATAATAAAATGAATGCAAATACAAATAACAGTAGAATGTAATAAATGTACATAAAATTATAGTATTTTATGTACAATTCTGATAAAATTTCATAAGAAAGGTACCTATAAATTAATTAGATACCTTTCTTAAGAAATATGAAATTTAATGTCACTCTTAACAGTTTTATTTTAATTTTTTAGAATATATTTCCCATAAAGCATCATAAACGTAAAGGTGAAAGCTAAGTAAAAAAAAAAAAAAAAATTAGACCATTGCTGAAAGTTTTCGTTAAAAAATAACGGGTAAATAATTTGTTCACGTAAATGTAAATTATTTCACTTTTTCTCCTTCCGTAGAACAAATTAGCCT